CCCCACCACCAACACCCGACATTCACCAAACGGCCTCGCCATTGGAATTCCAAATGACAAAAGCGAGGACTCTGTGGGTAGGAAGCTCCAAGGTTCACATATGACCCAACACGTGAGGACGGCAGGCATCATCAGTCACACAGGCCACCACCATGCCTTGCTCGATCCATTATTACCTTGTCCTGACTTGGTTGTGCCGTTGACTTCCAGTTGTGGCGCCGGGACCAGACCTGCAGCAAGGACTGCCTGAGCAAAGCGAGCTCCACGCCTTGCCAGGTTACTGATGCATGCATTCGCTGCGCTGCGAACTTTGATGCTTCCCGCATGTCCCGGTCCATCGCCCGATAGAAGGCGGAGCGTTTCTAGACAAGAGTCGGAGACCAGCTGGTCCTCTACAAGCCGGTTTCCGCCAGCTAACAAAACATTAACCAGCATCAGAGCATTCTCCGCCCCTGCAAAAATGTCGACCTCCCTGTCTTCGCCAAGCGCCACGCTGCTTTCCGCACCACTTCTGGCAGACGCCGACGAACCCTTCCGGCCACTACCTGAAAACAGCATAGCAGCCACATCAGCGGCAATTGCCATAGCCCCTACTCCACCCCCTGCTCGGGCAATCGATTGTGCATGAACCTCGCTGTCCTGCGCCAGTTTGGCCAGCAATCGAATGGAGGACAATCTAGCCTTCCAAACCACAGTACCTGAGTTCAAACCCTCATGTCCCTGGGGGATACCATCAGCATGACCACGACCCATAGCTGAATCCACTAGAGATGACAGTAATTGCTGTTCCCGTCCAATCGCGATTCTCGATTCCGCGTCATTTGCGAGCATGTACAGCACCTCCGCTCCCAAGGTAATTGTCACCAGTGCATCCTTCCTGCAAGTGCTCTGATCACAACCATCATCCTTGCTGCCTGCCTTCGCCATAATCCTGCACTTGTGCACAGAGGCCGCGATGATATTGATGCCATTCTCATCTCGCACGCTGCGGTACAAGCTGTTCTCCTGCTGCCCCCCGGTCTCGAGGAGAAGACGGAGAGCGTGTAGCGCCTGCACAATTCCAGATAAATGCGCTGTCTCTGAGCCGATAACTCGCAGCAAGAAAGGCAGTGCATTCGCCCTCACCATTGCGCGGACATAGCGCTTTTTCTTTGCCATTGCCACAGCCGCAAGCAGTCCTGCCACATGTGTGGCGAGCATACCGTTGCCCTCTGCCTGCAGCTCACCGTCCCCTTCTGCCGCTGCCAACGCATTCATGCCTAGTTCAATTGCTACAGGCAGCCCCCCTTCCTTCATCACCACTGATCTGTTCTTGTCGTTCCTCACCAACGTCACAAGAGTCATCACAGACACCTCGTGACACTCTCTATCGACTCCCTTATCCTTCAGCACTCTCACAACTTGATGCGTCCCGCCTGCCATCCACACCCTCAAGGACGCCACATCATGCAATGCCAGGTAACCGAGAGTTCGAATTATGTTGCTCTTGGTGCGGGACTTGAGGGAGTGCATTCCTTGGAACAACCATTCACAGAGCAATGCCACACCTTTTGAGTCCAATATCTCCACCCTGCCTCCCTCATCCAATGAGAGGTTAAGCAAGCACCCAAGGGCCGAGTCCTTACAGCCCTCTGCTCGTCCACCTCTCACAACTCCCAGAAGAACACCCACCCCACCCCTCGAGCGAATTTCCTTTCTAACTGCACAACTAACAGTCGCAAGGTTCCAGAGAACCCCTGCTGCCGCTTCACACGCCTTCGGGGACCAGTCATTTCGGGCTGCAATCTCCACCATCCACCCCAAGCCCCAACCACCTCTGTACTCTGCAATTCTCTGCTTTCCGTTCGTCACGAAGGATACGTTCCACAGCGTCTGCACTGCCTTCTCCACCACAACCACCTGACTTCCTGACTGTGACAGCCGCAGCAGCATCCCGACCGCGTCCATATCGCAGAGCGACTTCGCGTGATCCTCCAATGAGGACATCTTTGAGATGGCATCGATTGCCGTCTCCACACACACGGGGGTAGGAGGTGATACCGCCAACTCCATCAAGAAGGGAAGCCCCTTACCCTTCAGGATACCCTCAGAAAAGCCGCGAGAGGCAATATTGACAAGGGCATGCGCTGCACTCTCCTGAACAGCACCGGTGCAGCCTTTCCATCGCAGCTTTCCCAGCGCTTCTACCATTGCCGCGTCCGCCGCCAAAGACGACATCACAGGCGAAGATGACAAAGTCCAGAGAGCCGATGCTGCCAGTTCGCAGCACAGTATCGACAAACCCGACGATGCCACTCTCACAAGAACGGACTCGCCCCCGAGACGCTCGATTTCCGCCTGTGCCCCATAGTCGACAGCAAGAAACGCAAGCGCAGAGACGCAATGCTCAACGCATTCAGTCTGTGTATCCGCATCATCCGTTGCCAAGGCCATCAGATCAGAGCTCAGGAAAGACAGGAGTGGTTCGACGGCTCCCTCGTGCACCAACTGTGTGTGGTTATCTTTGTGAGAGGCGAGCTCTCGCAGGGCCCGAGCGGATTCCACTCGCCATTCAGCTCCGGGCGGCGCCTTTGCCACCTCAACCCACTGGGACAAGCAGTACATATCCGTTCTGACGCTCTTGTGACGAGAATGGCCGGCCACACCCTTTGGCTGCACCCCAGAACCAATAACGGGCACGGCAACAGCGCTGGCAGCACTGGAACCTCTCCGCTGTACAGGGACATGTCCCGAACTATGCCGAGGTCCGCCTGAGGAGAGGCCAGCAGCGGGCCCACTTCCTGCATTTACCAGCTCCCCGGAGTAGCGGTCCCTTGCTGCGATACCGATTACCAAGGGTCCACTCACTGCCCCTTGCCGGGATCCGCAGTCCCCTCCGCTTGACATTGCAGACACAGAAGAAGGAGAGGAACCTGCCGAAGGCCATTGTGAGGTTGCAACAGGCGGTGATGATCCTGAGAGGGGAGGGACCAAAGGAGAGTAAGGAACAGGGGCGGACGCCGTACGGAAATGGGGCGGACGCGCGGGCTGTTTCCGACCACCACCCACTATGACATCCTTCGCCCCAGCTTTGGCGGGCGGAGAAGAGAGACCCTCGACACCAAGCAACAGGCCCCGTATCGGGCTTGGATCTGATGGTTGCCTCCGAGGCGGCAAAATGACGGGGCCCTGGTGATGTCTTGGCAATTGATGCAGTGGTTGCCCAGAGATAGGGTCAGCGGCAAGCTTCTTCTTCCCCATTAACGCACCCCCCCCATTTGTCATCAGCCCTCTCCCAGTCCTAAGTCTCTCAATGAGGCTTCTGAGGAAGAAGTTCGGATACAGCTCCTGGCCGAAAAGAGTCTGCCGCGTAACAGGGCACTCCCGCCGACCCTCCCGGAACCAATTGATGATACACTCCCGGCAGTACGACATCCCCGATCGCACAGTCACTGGGTTCTCCATAACTCGTAAACAGATAGGGCAGGTGACCCTCTCCTCCAGCTCCCGCCTTTTCATATCGGTCTGCTGACTGGCCGATCCTCCCGACACAGCAGAAGAGCTGGACGACAGGCCCAGCCCCATCACCACTGGCGCCAGAGCAGATGCAGACATCTGTGTAGACGCTGCTACGGCCAGGGCTCCTGCTCCTCCAGAAGAGGCCGCAGAGCAGGACGCAGTTGACGACCCTAGTGTGCCCGCCCCTGGCATCAACGGCCCGCTGCCATGCCGATTTTGCGTCGCCGCAACAACCTGTAGCAGCTCCGCAAACTTCTCCAGCAACTCGCACGTTGAGTTGCCTGTTTGCGGGCACGTGCAGTTGGCGTTGTCCGGAGAACACCGCCGCAGATGCTGCTGCGGGGTCTGATTGCACGCCATTCTGAGCAGTTCTTCTCTTTCTCGGAGCAAGATGTCTTGCTCCTCCATCATTTCCTCAATCGTCATGCCCAGATGGTCGCCAACCCTGACGAGAAGCTCCATCCTGACCATGACAGCTGCCACGCCTTCCGATCCCCCCATCAGTCCATCACAAGAGGGCCGCCTCTTCGCTCCGCCTCCAGAGGCACCAGGGCAACCGCCGCTCCCTCCATCCCATGTTCTCAATACAGCAGCAACCTCGTGGGACAGGTCCAAAGTCTCCATCGCAATATTCGTCGTCGACATCGCACGCGTCAACTGCTCGCTCAGCGTCCGCATCTCCATCAAGACCGCCGGGTCTTTCGCTCTGTTCCCGTACATTCCCACCAGCACATCCACACAACTCTTCATCTGCTGCCTGACCTCTTTCTCTTCCTGCACCAGCTCTTCCGCCCTCAGGAACAGAGGCAACTGGGCAGACGTCTGGTAGCGGATAACCATCCCCTCGGCTCGAATCAGCGCTTTCTGCAATTCGATCATGACATCCCCCGCCTGGACAAATAAATCCTGCATGCCAGTCAACCGTTTTTTCCCATCCGCAAACTGTAATCAGAATCCAACGAAGTTTAAAAAACGCACCGATCAAGAGAACCTTGTTTTTTTCTGCTTGCACATGATGAGCCGCCGGACTGATGCCGCCCAGAATGGAAGCGGCCTATGTCCTTGGGTTAAAAAAAA